TACTGCGTCTTTCATCCTGTTCAGCAACACTCTGTTAAAGACCTTTCCTGGTATTGACAGTAGTGTAATACCTCTGTAGTTTTCACACTTGCTCAGATCTCCTTTCTTTGGAATCTTGATGAGGTGTCCTTCTTTCCAATCCATCGGCACTTGTTCCTCCTCCCAAATCTTCTTGAATAGAAGGTGAAGCATGCTTGTAGTTACTTCGATGTCTGACTTCAACGCTTTAGCTGGTATATTGTCAGGTCCTGCTGCTTTACCGCTCTTGATTTGTCTGATGGCCATTCTGATTTCTTCTGTCGTTGGTGGATTGACATTTATAGGAAGATCTGTGTGTGCTGCTTCGATGTCCGGTGGATTCATTGGAGCCGGCCTGTTCAGGAGTTCCTCGAAGTACTCTGCCCATCTGTTGCGCTGTTGTTGAATTTCAGTGATTGGTCTTCCTTCTTTGTCTTTGACTGGTCTCTCTGGTTTACTGTATTTCCCTGCAAGCTTCTTCGTCGTATCGTGAAGCTGCTTCATATTTCCTTCTCTTGCAGCTTTTTCCACCGTAGTTGCTAGTTTTTCCACGTATTTCTGCTTGTCGGCTCTAATGCTCTTCTTCACTTTCTTGTTTGCTTCTATGTACTCAGCTTGTGCTTGGACTTTCTCTGCTCTTGTTCGGCTGTTGTTAATTGCTGTCTTCTTGTTCTTCCCTTCTTTGATCCTGTTTAGTATTTCTATAGATATCCATTCCTTATGGTGATGTTTGTTGAGGCCCAGAACCTCTTGACACGTTCAAGTTAGTGTTTCTTTGATACCTTTCCAGCTATCCTCCATAGTAATTTCTTCTTTCTTCAGTAGATCCTGCAAGGCTTGGAACCTGTTGTTGAGAGTTTGTCATTATCTAGAAATGAGGTTGTATGGAACCTTTGTAGTGCTGTTTGTCCAGTTGTCCAGTTCTTCTTTCGCTTTAGTTTTAAACTGGCCGCAACTAGGTGATGATTCGAAGCTATGTCGGCTCCTCTCCTGATTCTCACATCTTCCATTGTCTTTCGGAGCGTTTTATTGATGCAAATATGATCTATCTGGTTCTCTGTGGTGTGGTCCAGTGAGATCCATGTAGCTTTGTGTATACGTTTGTATGAGAATATTGTGCCGACTATGACCAATTTGTTGAATGCACAGAGATATGCAAATCTTTCCCCATTTTCGTTTCTTTCTCCCAGTCCATGTAGTACCATGATATCTTCATAATCGGTGTTGTCTATTCCGACTTTGGCGTTTAGATCTGCCATTAGAATGGTGAGGTCTTTTCTTGGGCACTTCTCTATGATTGATTGCAGCCTCTCATAGAATTGATCTTGAATGTCGCCGTTGCTATCGTTTGTGGGTGAATAACATTGGATAATATTCATTGTGATTAACTCCTTCTTTGTTTTGAATGATGCTTTGATGATTTTGGATCCGTGAGATTCCCATCTTACAAGTGCATTTCGTGCTACTTTGAACAGCATTAGAGCAACTCCCTGAGTGTGTGGAGCATTTTCCTCTTTGTGACCGGAGTATAGCAGCATCTCTCCCGTATTTAGCCTTTGTTATCCAGCTTGGGTCCAATGGGTTTCGCTGATTCCCAGTACTGCCAAGTTATATCTCCTCATTTCCGTTGCTATTGGACTGGTCTTCCCGGTCTCCCACATTGTCCGGACGTTCCACGTACCTATAAAAATTGTTGCTCTGGTTGTTAGAAGGGGCATCGGCCTCGTGGCTTCCGAAGGAACTCGGCTTTCACCCTGAGGCGTCATAGTTCTTTTAAATGAAGACCTTCTAAGTTCCAGGGCACAGTTTAAATTGTTTGAATTATTTTTTCTGGTTAGCGTTTTTTTAACGAGTTAGTTTTCTATGGGATGGGGTCGCTAACCCCATGCTCAACCCTCCTCATTTACCCGGGCTTGAGACTGGTAGTAACTCTAGAAGAGCTACAGGCAGAGTTGAACTTATATACAGGCATATCAAATATAAGCAGTATTCGTCTCTTGTAAAATCAATTAGTAAATGTGTTTTGAAAATGTTTCGTTTCAAGACGACTAGTACTAAGCCTAGATAGCAACAATTTCAGGTTTATTTGTATGCGAAATTAACATGATAATATTACAGAAGAACATTCAGATTTTACTCAACTACTTAACTAACAAAATGTTACGTATGCGAACATAGGACAACTAGATTTCTAGATAAATATATTGAAATTCTATATACTGTTTGAGTTTACCAAGTAACACTATTGTATAATAAATGGTTATGATAAATAAAGAAATCTTAGAAAAAATTATTTTCATTGAAATTTCAAGTGTAATAGGTAGGCACGTAGTAACCTGTAATACAAAAAATATGTTAACATTTGATAAGAAATTCCTAAAAGTTAAAATAAACGCACATGAAATAATGACAGTATAGAAAGTTACAAAACTACCAAACCATCTAATAGAAAGTATGAAAACACTTTGAATGTTCAATGAAATTGAAATCACATGACATGTGTACAGAATGAAACATCACAAGAATGAGAAATATCTAGTATTTGTCAACTGATTTCTGATGGTAAATGTAGAGAATAGAGAGTGGAGAACAAGAGAAACAAACCACTTGTTAAATTGTGAAATAAGATAGTCACAAATTGTAAATGATGTAAACATGTTCAACGTTGAATAATAGAGAAAACATTTGTAAAACCTTTATTGTTGTCTAAAATTGGTTGAATTTTCTTGACGATAAATACATAAAATTTAATTGAAAAAACTTCTGATTCTTGGATAATATTCATTTTCGACGTAAAGGGATTAAACCCATATCCTAATGTGGTTCAATAAAATGATATATCAATGACAACTTAAGTGCAATGTGTCTTGTAAATTTGTTCACTCATTCAATAAAACAATTTACTCACGTGTAATACAAATCAAACTGACATTCAATGGTTATTGACATCGGCTGAAGAACTGGTTGTATCTTCGAAAATGTAAATTCATTTACAATGAGAACTATTCAGATTCCATGGGATTTTACCTAACACATCGAATGACCATCTGAGTTGATCTCATGGATATTTCACAGTTCCAATTTTCTTCAGTGTTTTTTATAGATTCGTTGTCAATTTATTTTGTTTTGAAGATTTATTAACAATGAAGAATGCTAGTTTTATCATTAATCTTTTCTGAGGTTTAGACCGGTAAGTAATAGTTACATTATCTGGCTCTATATAACATGCAGAAAAATTTTCCAGAGATATGAAGGTGAACTATTGACAATTTACACTCTAAGAGCATGGTTATGATCAATAAACTGACTACTTAAACGTACAATTATTGTGGTTGCTATTTAGTTGATCGAATTCGAAAGTCGACTGCAAATCGTGTAAATCTCAGTACATTGATAGACCCATCTCAAACTACCCTTACTTTTGAGATACAATGGTAAACAACCAATCGAAACATATGTAAATATATACGAATATTCGTCAAGATTAGAACGAATAGTTTGACAGCAATCGGGCGCCGAGTATAGAGAAGTCATTATATTTGAAAATTATATTTGAAATAATCTCAGCGATTAAAATTTAAACAACTCCAACGTTTCGTCGAGCTAACTCGTCTGGTAGAAACGTCGGAATCATTTAAATTTCAATCGCTGAGATTATTTCAAATATAATTTTCACGTATCTGTAACTATAATTTGAAGCCGGAAAGTTTGGTTTAATTTACAATGTTAATCAAATGAATAATGTGGAGTATAAAATTCGTAAATAGTTATGTTGATGACGATGTAATTCCGATAAACCACTGATTAAGGCTAAACATCAATATTTATGTAACTAATAAGAATAAAAACAGTATTGAGATTGTTAAAAATCGATGTCTTACTACTCATTAGACTATCAGTAAATTAAATTACCTTCGAAAAATTGCGACTATACATGGTCGAATTGTTACTTCAGTGTTTATAAATAAGTGACCTTCGAGTAGTTTTATCATTTTTCAACTTGTGTTGAAATTACTTCATTTCCATTCATCTACTATTCATACTGATAACGCTTATTTTTTAAAGAATATTTTGCGCATAATAACGGGATTAGATATCTGGGCATGGAAGTATCAATTTATTATCGACAAGTATTCGGGCTCATATTAGCAGTTGAATAATATGAAAGGTGTTAAGGAATACGAAAGCGTGAAATCATTTCGTTTGTTATATTTAATTGTTTAGTCTCGAGGGGTGAAGTTTAAAAAAAGTTGATGAATGATAATTGATCCACTAGAGTATAATAGTTGGCTCAATTACTGAAGCAACTGACAAATACTTCCAATGACCGAAAGATTATATGATTAGTCCGCATAATTAATAACCATTAGTAGTTTCACGCCGTTTGTCTCACTGGTTCATGTTAACGTTTCTGTATTAAAAACCGTAGCTTTTAATTTTGACTGAAATATATACCTCAACAGTTAACTGACTAAAAGGTAGCTAGCTGTAATAAATTTATTTTGTCCCATCTTATATATAAGATACTTTCAAACTGTTTTTCTCGCTCAGAATTGATAGCTTTGTTAGTAAAATGTAAGAAATCAAAGATATGAAAGAAGACTAGGATGTGAACAGATTCAATAACAGTATATATAAATAACTAAATTTCTACCGAGAACTGTTTAATTTATCATGGTAAATGGAATAGTGATCGAAAACAACGAATGAGTAGAATAAGTGGAACCAACTGATGTTCATCTTGGAAATTTTCATTTTTCTCATATGTGGTTACACAATTTTATATATCTCACTTGTTTGCTAAATAAACTTTATGTTTTGAGTAAAATGTTAGTTCTTGTATAAAGCCATTTTAATCTGAGATAGTAATTTGATTGTATCTCGAAATAGCAATCAGCTGATATCAGTTAATTCATCAAATTTAGCCCACATGTACTACCCGTCATTCTTAATTAGTTAATAATACATTTAACACGGAAATGTGAAATTAAACAAGAAATTTGTTCGTTTATTACAGCATTATTTTTAATACAAAACAGAATGAAACTAAAGTGTCAATGAATTGCAGAAATTTTAAAAAATTAATATTTCTCGTTTATAAGTTACAAAATAATACCCATGCTGAATATATGGATGAATCCATAAAATATAGAAAGCAAGATGAAAAAAAAACAATTGATTTGCGTAAATTATAATGTTTGTTCAGTTTCACTTCATCTTAACTCTGAAGAAACAAGTGAGTGTTATGACTATCACAGTTAACATATGATGAACTATACGTGTCTGTACACTCTTATTACAATAGTCAGTTTGACAACAATCATAAGACAATGATTTGTATATTGGACCCCAGTATGCAAAGCTGCACTCAGGTGAACATTTTCTGATTGGAGTTGAGTAGTGTTTTACTGAGAGCGTCTACAATAAAACAGATGATATTGAAATATATACTCTAGTTATGTCAACACAAATAATAGTATCTATATGAATAAGAAACAGTCATTTAGCACTATGTAATGGTTGCTAAGAGTCTAGTAGATAGTTTTTCATATCTTACAATTTATTTGTATGAGTGAAATGAGTATTGTCGAATCGATTTAATCAATTAGCTATGTTTACAATAATATTTTTTATCAGAACACATATTGTTTTCATCATCACAGTAATCAGTTTTAATTATTTCTTGAACACTTTTGTTCTTACATAGTGCAAGTAAACGGATTTGTTTCTCCAAACCTGAAGATCATTTGAAAATACTGATAGTTCACAGCAATGATTAATTCCAGCTGATCGAAGTGAGGACAACTAACACTATGGTAAATTGTCTTTAGCCTTAAATAACTGAAAACAATTAACGACTCACTTTCACTTAGATTTAATGCTACTTATGACAGAGAAGAATAGATAATTTTCAGTCATTTATAAAACTGATGGTTAGTTATGCTTGTACGCTAGAGATACTACAAGACATTCAGATGAATTAACAATTAACCTGTTTTGAACGGTCATAACTACATTAATGAGTAACGGTCCAACACTTTAGTTGATCTCATTGGATAAGCTTATTGAAATTTAACAAATGATTGATTCATCGCACTTACTGCACACCATTTACAATTATGTCTTGTTTCCACTAGAGAAGAATTCCTGAATGGAACTGGACAAGGATCGCATTCATAGCAGCTTAAAGACAGACCTGAAATCAGATAAGAAGACATGACGGTACTGTCAAATTTGTACGTTTGTTTAAACTAATTCAACGACTGTGCTTAGTTATGATTTGATGAACAGTTTATTGACTGAACACATCAACAGCAATCAGGTTATCACTAACAAACATAACAAGCACACTCAAAAAATAAAGTACTGATCACAGTCCTATTCAAGCTAACCAGTTTTTACCAGACTTACATTGAGCTGCAGGTAACATAATGGATAGTTAAGGGATTTAAATCAGTCAGTATAAACAGTCAAGAAGAAATCTGTTTCGATTTCTATTCAACCGAAATACCTTTGCATTATTTATAAAACAATCATCATATAATGAGACGAAACATTAACAAGTTATCTTACTGCAATGTATGTTAACTATAATCAGCAGAATCGAGAGGAGAATCTGTGGAGCATACTCCATGGTGGTAGTAGAACAATGAAAACCCGATTACTATATTTAGACGTATATAGTAATGATATCGTAATGCTCAGACCAATTTAATCAAGATTTTATAAGACTCGTATGTTATCATTACTCCTTAAAACATATTTAGATGATTGGTCAACCGAAAAAGTAAATGTTGATTGGTTATCGTATTCTGTAGTACAGACTACACACTCACTAGACACACAACGTTAACACGATATGAACACTTATCATAAGGAATATTGTCAGTCTCGAAGTTGGAATTCCTGTGTAAACCTTGTCGCATAACTAAGGTTTTCTCGAGTGTAGTAATATGTAGCGAGTTTGTCTACCTAACATCTTCCTACGTCACGTGCAGGATAGAAGTTCCATTTTTTCTGTTTCATCTAACAGACTGAAAGATTGAGCATATTGAATAACACTGTCAAGTAGTTTTGTGTTTAATTATCTTCCAAATGTTGAGAGAAATACTATCTCGAGAGGATAACACGCAACAAGTGAGAAATATTTCCCAAGTTATATCGATCGGGACTAAGAAAATTTTATGAGAAGTAATAACAAATTTGACTGATTTTAAGAACAAATATAAGATGTATAAATGAACTCTCAATGTGATCCACGTCTTTTTACGGTTGTTTATTCATGAAAAATTATATGTTATTAACACTTCTCGTGTACTGTCTAAAATAGAAAGCATTAGGGATCGTGATAATCATCTTACGACTAATACCAAAGACTCGCAACACAATGAAAGTGAGTAAATTACTGTGATGACTTCTGAAGTGTAGAAACTAGTGTAGATGACAAATCTCAAACTATAATTTAACTGGCATCGTTGTGAGATATCAGTTAATTTGTGTGTGAAATTGACTTAATTGACAGGTATCATTTATTCGTTTATTATTTTAAATTGGGTTAAATTTAGTCACATGAGAAAAATGACGATACGAGCAATAATGCATCAGACATGAAGTTACCTGTTTATTCAAGCAATACCAATTTTAGGAACTAGTAATTTTAACAAAATGTGAATTCCAAGGAGAAATAAATGGTAGTTGTAAGTTCTAAATGTTGAAAATATTAGAAAATCCTTGATGAGTTAACAACTGATTTCTTAGCCTTTTCAGTGAAGATGCAGAAAACTATGTAATTGGTTAAGGACAATAACATCTATACTAAGTGTGAAAGGAAAGTAGTGAGGTGAAACTGTAGTGTGTTTGAGATGGATCTACTTCCATTAAGTGTGGTGTATAACATATGTAACATGTATTGGATCGTTCTCTATTCTGTCAAGATTATTTCAGATACCAATAGATGGATGATAGGATGGGATAGAGGAAATAAAATACAGTCATACTGCTTATAAAGGAGTTACATGGGTTCTGAAAACATTTTACATTACAAACACTACAGTTGTTAGTTTGATTTCTACCAACTAGTGCAATGTCTCAAAGATGAGGTTAAGTGCAATTTCAGAACTGGATAGTATATAAAACTTAGTGTTGATGTTTTAATTCTGTCAACTAAATGATTTTTGTTAATCAAATGAGAGTAGACAGAGTTGTGTATTGAATTTCTATGTTCTTTTCCAGTTGATCGCAAAGTGATTGAGTTCAGTTATCCAAAATAATAATCATTTGCTTCGGTTATTATTGTTATTAGCTTTATTCAATATTATCTTTTTGTTGTAATATAGAATTCTCAGCACAAAGTATTTCAACATGTTTCCATTTCTTATTTCTTGATCAATCCTGACGATAAATATTGACTGATCGCCAATTCGGTGTTAGCAGTTTAGGAATGGACATCTGAATAATGTACATCCACTTCGATGTATGTTGCCAGCAACCACAATGTCTCTGATTGTGCTCTTTCCTAACTTGTACAACGAATGTCATGAATATTTCACAAACGCACCTGAATAGCTTGTGAAATGAATCAATTGACATAATGATCTGTTGAAACGAACAAAAGACAGATAACATGTTGAAATATCTAGATGTCAGGAACGGGTAGCCTAGATATTTAAGCAGGCCTCCCAGTTAATATCATTATCTCAATTACCATATTTAGTATAGCCTTTTTAAATGTCGTTTAAGTAAAACTGTTTTTACTATTTGCTCACTTTTTAACAGATACCTGTTTTCGATGTTGAAATGGAGTAAAAATTGGGAAGATTGGAACTTTCAGAACTATTCTGTGATTCATTGTTATTTCTATATGACATGATGAAGTGTAGTATTCCAGTCATACATTATTAATAGTATATAAAATACTCGTGAACAGTGAAAGAACAAAATTCAGAATTCCAGATTAATAATAACAATATTTTACAAAACAGAGTTTAGTGGTCCAATATCTAAGGCTAGTTAGATCGCATGATGATTATTATAAAGATATACATGTTGATTTCCCTCGTGTATATTTTCATAGAATTAATTCACGTTAGAGCATAACGGAGTTAAACAAGTTAAATATGAGAATTAAGGTTCAATGAGTTTATTTCATATACTCATTGATCTGGACGGACAATCAGCGAAATGAAGTAGCGAAAGAGAAGCGGAGAATGTCGTTGGGAGGATGTAAAGCAAACCAACACGGGAAAGTCGAGTAAGGCAACTCGATTTCATGAAGCAATACTCAATATTCATATTCAGGCATAAATGAGTTACAGACACGTATTGATCACAGCAAGCAATTACCACATACGAACACCACATAAAAACAGTTAGGGTTAACAAGTGAGTAAATGACAAGTTCAGAATAGAACTTGAGAAGAATGAATAATTTGTCTGTGCAGAAGCTAGAATAGCCCATGTCGGTTTGAAAAAGTACCAGCCACCACAAGACCAGTCGATGATTATTCGTTAAATAACCTTCAACCAAATAAATCAAACAAGTGAATTCATAAATGCTTACTAGAAGGTGGAATATTATTCGGTGAATTTTTCACTATTTCACAAATGGTTTGTGTGTTTAGAAGAGTGGAGAGTTTAAATTTATGTGAAGTGAATGATGGGAATGCTTTATTTCGACATCACTAAGATGCTTTATTAGAAGTACGTGCGAATCACACCAAAAACGAAAAAACTCTATTTAGAATACAAACACACACACACGATGTTGAATACACCCAGAATGAAATTAACTTGTTGAATCTGCATACACCGTCATTAACTCACAAGATCCTATACAATAACCAGACAAATTAGAAAATCATTCAGATACTAACTGCAGCACAAGTAGATACATATCTCGTGAAAAGTTGCAAGTGAAAATCGTGGAAATCACTTCATCACATCATCTAATTCATACTCAGCCTCGTCTTACACCTGGCTAACAAAGTAGATAGTATCAAAATCACAATGTCAATCTGTGTAGTTCAAGATTGATGCAACTCTATTATTTTGTCGAATTTCACATTAACATACATCTGAACACAATATGAAACAGTGAGTTGACGCCCAAATTATTAAAATTATTGACTGAGAACTCTGTTGACAAATATGTTACATGTGACTAATATCAAAATACAATGTTTTGAATATTTAATATTTTGCTTTGAATTTCGAGTAAGCAAAAAAACAGCTCTCAATATTATTTGAAATATTAGATATCCGTTGGTAAAATTGTGTTCTTTGAGAAGTCACTGTCCTTCTTGTCGTCATCTAATTGGCACCCACTTATATGATGACAACTTTATTACCGATTCATGTTGCTCTGAATAAACAAAATTGGTGAAAACCTCGAAAAGCGTAAGAAGTCCGTCTATGAATTAACTACAATAAGCTAACTATCTCCATTAGCTTTGTTGAGGAAACCTTTTTACCTTTGACGTGTCATGCTTCTATAAAATTCAGTTTTGATTACTTTCATAATGAGTATTATTCTAGAATACGAGAATTTCATGTTGTGTGAAAGTAATAAAAAGTGTCAGTAATAGTATATCAACAATTCCATACAATTCTTTTGATATAATCCTCATTACGCTTATCACGGATGTGTGGGGTCCTTCATTCCGACTTTAATTAAACCGGAACATGTTGTTGAACGGCTCATCTTTTTATTGGCCCGATATCTGACTCTAATCGGATTGAATGAATGATTGCTGTCGAAATATATATATCGCTAATCCTCATACTAAATTATCGACTAAAATCGCGTCGGTGAATAACGGAAATAAATAAGTCAAATACGGGAATGGATATTTGAATAATTATATTTTGTACATTCGTTGATCGGAATAGACACTCAAAGAATCGCAAAGAACGAAGTGAAACGAAAGGACACCCAGTGGAGAGGGAGTGTGAGCCAACCCGATTCAATCAATATTTATAGCCAGATAAAAGTAGGTAGCAGACATGTGATGCACGTATACGCTTACATAAAAACAGTCAGGATTGATAAGGGAATAATTAACAAGGTCAAAACATGACTCAAGAAGAATGGATAAATTGGCATGTCCATAATCTAGAATAAGCTATGTGGGCTGAACATAGCAACCAATACTACAGATGTAGCAGTTAGAATCAAGTCAAATTCAATATGTTTATCAAACTATTTACGTAGTAATACACGTTACGCAATCTAATTGGTTAGTTAGACATTTATGAGCAACGAATTAATTTTCAATAACGCCAAAAAACATGACAATACTTTAACACAACTACGGGAAAACGAGCGGAATATGTCCAATTTCTTAGACTATATAATAATACCGCACTTGATAAAAAAAATTCACAAATCCTTGAAGGCTCAATATCTACAAAGTAAAAAGCTTTCAACATATTGTAAGAAATTCCTAAAAGTTAAAATAAACGCTTATGAAATAATGACAGTATAAAAAGTTACAAAACTACCAAACCATCTAATAGAAAGTATGAAAACACTTTGAATGTTCAATGAAATTGAAATCACATGACATGTGTACAAAATGAAACATCACAAGAATGAGAAATATCTAGTATTTGTCAACTGATTTCTAATGGTAAATGTAGAGAATAGAGAGTGGAGAACAAGAGAAACAAACCTCTTGTTAATTTTTCAAATACGATAGTCACAAATTGTAAATGATGTAAACATGTTCAACGTTGAATACAAGAGAAAACTTCTCTCAAACCTTTATTGTTGTCTAAAATTGGTTGAGTTTTCTTGACGATAAATACATAAAATTTAATTGAAAAAACTTCTGATTCTTGGATAATATTCATTTTCGACGTAGAGGAAATATGAGAGTATTATATAATACAACGAAAAAACTATCAGGGAAATGTAATCATCAAATAGGCCAGTCAAGAATAAGGTAGGTATGCCAATCACTGAGATTCAAGAACACTGGGAAGAGCTTTTTGTGGTGCTTGTGAAAAGACCAGCCTCTTTGAACTCACCGAACTTCAAAGCAGCATACAGATTTTGCTATAGCTACTAACTAATCAACAATCGAAGAAATGTTTATATCCATTAAACAGATCAAGAGTGGAAAAGCACCAGGAACAGACAACATGCTAGCTGAAACAAAGAATTCGGATATAGAGATATCTGTAAAGATTTTCTATTTTCTTTTTAGAATGATTTAGGAGGACGAATAAGTATTAAAGACAGTAAAGAAGAATGGTTAATCAATACATCGATGAATTGAGAACTCAGTAAGTGCAAAAAATACAGAGGCATCTTGCTACTATCAGTGAAGTAAGGTTTGTGGTTTCCAAACACTACTTAGTTACAATAACGGAGTGAGATATATTAACTGACTACAAATACTGTGATGGGTGCAATTGAAGGTAACGATCATCACTGTTAAACAACTTGGAAAAGCTTAGTCTTTTTGTATTTGTTAAATAAACTTATTTAAATTCTATCAATAATGATTGAAAGAATTTAATGCATGTTAAATAGAATTCAGTTAATGTTATACCTAAAGTGACTGAAATATATCTTACAATAAACTAGTTTTATATCTAAAAAGGTTATATTACCGGAGCAAATAGTTATTGACCTATTATATTTTTGACCGGTTTATTTCATTAATTTAAATTAGCATTGCTGTGGAAAAATCACTTGTCGTTAATATTAATGACGCTATCGTTTAAAAGAATAAAGACAGATTCACAATTAAACTATCCAGCTTAGAGAACTCAGAGTTATTTAGTGCATTCATATGACATGTCAATCTCATACCCCTGTGTCTTTAGAGTCATATTTATTGACTATTGTTAAATATTGGAGTCTGAACAAAAGACGTTAATCTTAAATTTAGTATTTCAAATACTGAGCAGGCTCACATAATGTTTAAATAATTTTAAGAAAAAGAATTTTTTCTATACACAGACGCTTATTTTGAATCACTTAATCCGTGGGATATGGAAACGTATCATATCAAATGTTATGTGTAAAGTTTTATATATAACAATACTTTCTTACATAGAGCATAAATCTATCATACCAGAATAATAAATCGACAGTAACTTGGATCTTACTTTTTTAACAATATTATTCATTGGACTTTTATTATGAAAGTTTTAATCAATGAGTATTTTTATATGTAATTAAAATAACCCATTGTGTTATTGATTAAAAATAATCCAGCGAAGAAAATTTTCTTTTCGATGAAATCATTTACTTAAGCTGTACATTCGTATTTATAGTTGTTTGGTAAATGTGTCTATAGAAAAATAGGAGAGATTGTATAATAAAGTAATTGTTTTTGGGCCATATAAATTGGCTTGTTCTAGTGGGGCAGGTTTCACTGGACGAACAAAGCGACCACTTTGCAAACGCATCTCAGAATATCACCAGGTGTGACTTTTAAAAAGAGCATGCAAAACAATCATCAGTTCAATATAGGAACACCTAATCAACTGTGGGCAAGTCGCTTGAAAGAAATCTTAATTGAAAATAATCTACACAATCAAAGGAACTGGATGGAAGGGTGGCCGGATCAAAAACACATGCACTGATGAGGCATTGGTGGTTCACCGATTCAAGTCCGAACTCTGCGTGCAAAAACAATACGTCCGAATTCTCATCCTCCCTTGGCCCCAATTCCCTTCTGTAGTATGCTTTGGTCTTGTTTTAATTTTATTATTGTTTTGTAATTTTAAACCGTAATCAGTTATTATTATTCTTTCCATGATTATCCTTCCTCACAATTATTATTAAATTGTCATTATGGTATTGACGTTTTTCATTTTCCTTCATACTTGTCAGGCAGACAATTATCATCCTGTTCGGAGGATTCCAAGAATCGCGATAACGCCTTCAGAGGCCCAAAGGAGCCGAAGATTTTCCACCCTATCAGAACCTGGTGGAAATTCCTAGAATAACAGCGTGGCATGTTACAACCGGATGATAGCCTAAGTATCTCTTTGCGGATTGGCTGGATTATAACGACGTTATAGCTAACGTTAATATCTATAAATACGCATGATCTTCTGTACACTTTTTGATTCTTATCGAACAATCACTTCTCTTGTTTCTTCTGTCTTCTAGTTTGCGATTGTGGAGGTTCTATACGTTCGGGTGCCGTTGGTTGTATATCGTAATATACGTTATTATTTATTTATTTATTTATTTTAACACATAGATATTGGTACAAAGAGGGACCAAATACATATGCGCCACACATATCTCATTTGATATGTGTGAGGGCTGTGACACTGCACGGGTGCCCAAACCGAAGTAGGTGGTTTTCTTAGGAGGCCACATCCCGAGCCTTCGACCTGAACGTCTGACCCACAAGGCAGTGGGGCATCGTAAAGAGATACAGTCCAATGACAGCCGGTGACCAACGATTGGTTCATACGCCATTTGTTCCTTCAGGATACTGGAGCACATGTGCACCGGACATACGCTTTTCGTCCTCTCATTTTCGTAAACAACACCCTCGCCACGTGAAGGCAGTGAGTAGGACTTCTTTGGCAGAGGCTATATACGCGTGGCCATGTGAGAGCATTTCGAGAGGGAGAGCGGACTCTCCCCACTCTTGAGCCGTACCAGGGCATTTGGGGGCATTCTACGTAAATCAAGTAGCGAACGTAACACTTTCATAATTCTGACCCGTAAGCTATTTTCATCCTCCTATTCTTCCTAAACTCCCTGATTATTACGCAACCTCGTTTAATATTTGAAATCTCGAATCAATCTTTTCTGTCTTTCTTACTTAATAACTTACGCCTGTTACTCCTTGCGAAGGAGAATAGGCCGCTCACCAGCATTCTTCATCCACCACTGTCCTGGACAATCCTTTCTAGTTTTTCCCAGTTCTTATTCATCCTTTTCATATCTGCTTCTATTTCCCGACGTGATTTGTTCTTTGGCCTTCCTCTTTTCCACTTCGCTTCAGCATTTCAAGTTACAGATTGCCTCGTGATGCAGTTTGATGATTTCCTCGATGTATGTCCTATCCATTTCCATCGTCTTTTCCTAATTTCCTCTTCATCTGGAAACTGGTTTGTTCTCTCCAACGGAAAGCTGTTGCTGATGGTATCCGGCCAATGGATGTTGAGTATCATGCGTAGACAGCTATTGATAAATACTTGTACATTCTTGATGGTGGTTGTTGTAGTTCTTGAAGTCTCAGCTCCATACAGTAGAACTGACTTTGATATTGGTCATCGGTTGTTTTGAGTTCCATATGTTCTTTAATTGAAGGAATGTGGCCCTTGTTTTGCCAATCCTCGCTTTTACGTGTGCATCTGAACCATACTTCGTAATTGACTATGCTTCATAGTTTTAGAATAATCTACAATAAAATACATTATTGTTTGTGTTAATGAATGATGGATTTTATCAAAAGAAATCAATATTACTGAAATTCGTGATGATCAACCAATGTCAGTTAATTCAATACACATCTCCACACATATATAATTTGTAATTAACAAATAATTTAATTAATATAAAAATATAAAGCTTAGTTACAAATCTAGTCATTAAAATATTATGTTAATAAAAAGATAAAATGCAATAAACGAAAGTTACCGATATATAAGACATATGTACGAATAAGGAGTTAGAATTTTGTCACATAGATATAAACATGTCTAAAATTGAGGTAAGGTTATTCAAATGTTTGATTAAGACAAATTGTAATGTTTGTTACAATTTACTGCATTTTATTAATGAAAACACATGTGAATGTTATAACATTTATATGTAGTATCCGATGCGTTACATGAATCTGTACACTTTTATTACAATAGTCAGTTTGATTACAATGATATTCAAGTGATTTGTATGTTTTGTCCCAATATTCAAAGTCCCATTCTGGTGCACACTCTCTCAATTTATGATGTGCGCTTTTAACTAAAATATTCTGTGATAAAATCCAACAAATTATACGGTAGTACTTTTGTATAACAACAAATACAATTGAAATAATACTGTTACAAATATGGAACATTAATAACCTCTAGCGTAATTTACTGACGAATAAATTATTATAATGAGCTTGTACAAATCATTCTAGACAGTATTGTCTGCAAATGTTATAGAAACAGAGCATTGGAAAATTGAGCTAAGATATTTTGGGTCTTTAGCTTGAAAAATCCAGTAATTACCAACATACGTATTATCATAAGATTCGTGGAGATTGTTGAATTTCAAGTTTTAAGTCATAAGCTTATCGTAGCTAGACTGCGATTGAATATCTGAAGGCAATATTATGAGTTGGTGTTTGACATTAACACCGTTGGATGCTGGCTCAGTGGTCTAAAGGCGAAAAGTTTATGTGCAAGACCGAAGATCCTGGATTCAACTGCCACATATGGGGTTGTGGATGAGTAATTTTGGGAAGCCACAAACTGTGACGAAATGGCCGACCGATGCATTTATGTCTTTAATATTGGTCTGGCTATGGGTCAGTTCATGACTGAAAACTGTAATTATGTATTACTATTAAACTATGTGAGGTAAACGACTCAATCCTCGAGCAGTAACTAGCAGTCACCCACTCATTAGAATATACAATTTTTAACTTCTAAGAAGCAGTTGGTCAGTAACATTCTCACAATAGAAATATCATCAAACATTCAGTGACTTCACAAAAAAAATTATGTAAGAATTCAAGTATATTATTTAAGTCCAAATATTGGCTCAGCTCCTGTAATCTAGCTTCCTATCAAGGGCGAGAAATGTTTCGTACAACTCTACGAATGCATTATTCATTGTACTTACTGTACGCCACTTACTGCTGCTTAAATTCCTGACTGTTTGAGATGAAGGGTTCAATGGTTTTGGACATACTGTACATGAATAGCAAACCAATGGAAGACCTGAAATCAGATTCAAAAATATTAATGATGTAACCATAAAAGTTTAGTGTGATAAGTGGAACGCCTTACCTTTCATACTTATAGGTATCTACTGGGAATTTCGATCGATCAAGTATTTATTATTATTTCAACTCTGAACCAAAATAAATACATTGATTTATTTTCCTTTTGTATCTAGGTGACATGATATGTCGTCTTTGATTACAACGCTAGTGGACAATAGCAATTATGCATTCAATCAGAAGGACATTTAAGTTCTACAACAGAACTTTCTGATTTAGAGAGAACACTTTGAGGTTTGTCATTTGAGATAAGTGATAATTATCAGACACAATGACATAAATTTAATCCATGAACTACTTCAAATAAATTTTACAAGTCACAACAAGAGACTACTGATTAAATGCATCAAAACTTTTCAAAGTATCAAAAACACCGTAAATGTATGTAAGGAAAACAGTAACTGTAGAATTTCTGAATTGAAACGAAGGTTTGACCCATCAGTGAATTGCTAACAAAACATTTATGCAAGCTAAAGATGTTTCACTTCATAATTATGTTACTGATATTGAAGCTACAAGATCTCTCGATGAGATAATCGGAATGATTAATCGTCAATTATATAGTTGAAAGTAGTTATCAATAAACCTTGAGTCTACTTTTCGTGTTATATGGCGCTAGTCATCATGTAATCCAGAGAAAACTGGAGCACCATCAAGGATTTGAGCTTGTGAATCCCAGCTTCATAGTTAACAACGTTGTCACTGAGCAGTTAATGGAATACCTACTGATCTCATGTGGGACTCAGATGAATTTACAATTAATTGCTTATTGTGTAGTATGGGCAGGCTCTAATTCAGACTACATCTGACGACCGAGCATCTCTACATAGTCCTGAGATAATTCTATCAGTCAAGTTACAATCTACTCACTGGTCTGAATGACCCGATATCTCAAGCAATAATAAGAAGTTAATAAATATAACACCGATCACTACTCAGTGATTAACTAATTATGAATGATTCAATTCAAAAACCTCACAAAAAACGTAATTATATATTTTCATATTCAGATAACATTTTCCACAACTATGTGCTCGTATTTTAGATTTTATACTTCATGGAGAATGTGAACGACCTGTTTTACCATATGATTCTGCATCATTCATTAGACATTTTCACGTCCTGAATTAGATGTAAAATGTGGTAAAAAATGGTTCGTTATTATATATTCTCGACCGCAACGAATCCTTAAGCAAATGATTGAAGCCTAATGTCTTTCAGAGCATTAAGTCAAATTAATTCAGAACAGTGCAGGGTTAAATTGAGAGCAAATTATTTTTAAATACATAAACCTATCCCGGTAATATAATTTGGTTATCCAGAGTGATGAGTTCAAAATTGTTTTTCATATTACTTCATTGATTTTTGTTTCCTCTCAAAGTTCTCTCTAATTGTCTAGTTAATCTTTTAATTTTTCATATATATGTGTGATCAAATTGTTAGAAATATTTTACATTAATATAACACATACTTCTGATAATCTTCGTCTTCTTACTAAACTATCCAAATTTACTAAAGGAACTAGTTTTTTACTGAGATCATGAAACTATTGATGTTAGACCCCCATTGAAAACCTGGAAGCACTGGACGGCCGTTTCGTTCTATTGTGGGGCTCTTCAACAGTGCGCATCCACGATCCAGCCCGCGGGATTCGAACTCAGGGACTTTGGTTTCGCGCGCGAACGCTTAATCTACTGGACCACTGAGCCGGCAACCACTGGTGTTAGTGTCTAACATCATCTAACAACAACTAATTACTTTAAACTCAGTTAATTGTATGATGATTTATGCTCACATCTGATATATCAATGACTTACGAAACCCGGCTAGGGATTTCCTTCAAATAATTAAAATAACAATTTTAATACATTCAACTGTTAGTATTAAACGTTCAAGCAATAGTTCTGATCGACCTCAAGAAAAATTTCAAAAATAATGGTCTATATTTTATAGATGATCTCTTTCAAGTAATAACAATAGTTACAAAGATAGTGATGTTAAACTAAGTGACGTTTTGTAATCAAGTCAATAAGTAGTCGATTATAAGTGTATTTTAAGTACTTTCAACTGACTGCCTTTGAAAGTCAAATGTATTTTGTAATGAATACTTTGAAACTTAGAATCACATATTATTTGTTCTATTTAATTGATACACGGATTTTCTGCTTTCGAAAAACATAGAATTGATACTTAAGGAATTTTGCTAATGAAGTTATTGTGAGGAGGCTGGAAAAGAACTATAAAAAATTGATTCTCAATTTAATTGAGTATCTGTGATATATATACCTTCTAGTCAAAATTTTAAGCTAATATTCTAATTATGTTTCATCTGTACCAAATAAATGAATAAATATGTTTATGTAACTATTACCCTGACTAATCTCATTGTAGCAAATTCTGTCACATTGTCTACTTTGAATTTGGTATCGAAAATTTTAATGCGACAATCGATTATCAAAGTAATTTTTATCTGAATAACAAACAGAACTGTTATGAACATTTAAACAGCTTTTAAGATAGTAGACTATTTGAAGTGTCACTTGTAACTAAGATTTGTTATGTGATTCGGAATACACTTACAATATAGAAAGAAATCAACGAGTGCTTCTCTGCTTCACACAAGAACAGCCAATATGTGTATTTAGAACAGTGTACATAAGCGAACAACGTTGTTTTTAATTGGATCCTCATCAGACTTTAATACACAAAAATACGAAATTATTAAACCAATCGAGGCAGTTTATGAGTTAGTGATAACAATGGAAAAGATTACATCAATAAACATACTAAATAAGATGTGCGAATTGACAATGTGATAACAGGTGTTATAGTTGTAATAGGAATATGTGAAACTACATTACAAAGCGCTTTTGCTCATGTGAAATTAAAACAGACTTATATCGTTTTACTGCTTTGAAAACCCCAACTTATTCAAAAGATCTTGATATTTTAAGCAGAATATCAATAAAACTCATAAAATATCTTGTTTATTGTATTGATCTTATTCGAATCGGAACTGAAAAGCACCAGTATTTTCAAAAGGCATTTAAAAATATCAAAAATGAGGTTTCTTTTAATATGTTGGTATCATGGGATAGTTAACTGAAGCATTCAGTGACGTCGCCTCCAAATTCCAAGCTAAAATTTTCTAAATAACAAAACTACTAGTCATGTGAAGATGACCGACACAGTATCTTATATTGTTTGGATATTTCATATCCCTATGTTTATTATTGTTCTAGTTTACAGAAGTGTTGACTTTGAAGCTTTTGAAAAACTTCGAGTTTTGCATTTCACTTTTGTAACTTTTCTATATGAAGCTTCTTTAACTACCAGGTTAGGATTTGATCGACTTACTTCAGTTGGAAATTTTATAGCAGGCTTAATTTTTTCCAGGTCCAACTGCTTACCATATGTATTTACCGAGGCTTGGGACTGGTAGTAGTTCAAATAAGACCCCAGTTGAGGTAATAGTGGAAATGTAATCAACTACTGAGATATCTCTGGTATAACTGAAAATATACTAAGTTAAAAATTTATAAATGAAACCTTGATAGTATACTAAATATTACTCCAACTTTTCACGGAATTCTATCTGATATTCAATACAATTGTCTTGTTCTCATCGTATGAGCAATTGTTAGTCAAACGAAATGGGCAAATTAATATTATCAGAAGTGGTTTTGTGGAGATTTTTTAGAAATTTCAATAGTTGAAATCATGAGTCAACTGAAGTTAAACCATTATGGAAAAACTGGAAGCACTGGATGACCAGTTTGTCACAGTATGGGACTCCTCATCAGTACGCATCCACGATCTCACTCCCTGCGAGGTTCGAACACAGGACCTATCGGTCTCGCGTGCGAGCACTTAACCATTAGAACACTGGGCCTGCATCCAATGATGCTAATGCCTAACTTCAACCAATCCACGAAGTTGCGCCACCGTTCACCATTGCCTTCATTGAATTAATATCTCACAACAGACCTGGTTGAACTCCATTGGTAACGGCTTCTCACTAAAACTCCAGGAAATGCCTCTTGGGGGGATCGTAGATGCGCACTGCTGAGCAGTCCCATACTAGGACGAAACGGCCGCCCAGTGCTTCCAGGTTTTCCATGGTGGTTTAGCTTCAATTGACTAATGATTTCAACTATTGAAATTAATATTAAACTAAAAATTTCTTTATTTATGTTGTATTAACTGTGACGTTTTGAATATTTAATGTATTTCTAACAAATTGACTGATTACAAAGTCAAATTATTTTGTGTATGTTTTGGTTGGTTATACCTACCACTAAATCTATTTTATATGTATGAATTAATGAAATCTTAAAACTGTTTTTTCATATTCAAAAGATCTCACTTCTTCATTGTAAAATGATACAAAGTTCATGAAATAGTTACTAAATAAATTTTCTAGCAAAATATTTGTTACTTTAACTTTCTTAACAATTGTTTGGTTGGTCACACATAAGTACGTATTACTGTTATATTGTTTGAGTAATTTTATACGCTTTAATGTTTATTGTCCATATATCAGTTTAATATATCACAATAAGGTTGATAGGTTTGTAGTGACCTACTTTTGTCAACAGAACGCGATTGGTTCGATGAAAACAATTATTATTATAACCAATTGTACCAGTGACTATTTTACTGTGCTTGTTTGTTTAACTATGCTAATGACATCCATTACACTTACTCTCCCGTTGACTTTGAACTTGTACGAATTCGGTTACGCTCAGTAACCACGCTTGTACTCGTTTGACACGATCTCGGTATTCTTTCGATACCACGAGATCGCCAGCAAATATATCTCGACTACAGCCGTCATCTGTCTTCTGATTTTGGCCTACGGGAATCTTATTGGTTTACTGGCACGTAGTCTTGTAACGGTGTTCATAGTCAAGCTCAACTTGACACCACGCTACAGGTTATTTTAAATAAATATTTCGGTCGTGAGCAGTTATCATAATTTCTTTTCTCTTTTCTTATCATGGTCCTAATCAAGTTTGACAGTTTTCATTAAATTAGATGTTAGCTACAGATAACAAGATGAATTGTTGAATAATCTAGATCAGTAAGCAACATCAAATGAACATAAACACCATATAATGAAATGAAAAATTAACGAGGTAACTTACCGTAATCTGTATTGACTATAATCAACAACAATACCAGTAGAATTTGTGAAATATACACCATGATGAAGCCAATATCCGACGAAACGTTTTAGATGTATATCGTCTCATAGATTCTCAAGGATATTTTATTCAAGGTTTTTTGAGAACAATGTGTTATCACTAATGTGAGACATGTTTTTATCAATCGAAAAAGTACACGTTGATTGGTATTTGTAATCAGTACAATAGACATACTAACTAAATAGACATGCCTTATTAACGTTATTCAAGCATTATTCAAAAGCAATGCTAATGTTTTAGGATATGATCTCCATGTTTATTGTTAAACCCTTAGTTAAACAGTTTGGCTGGTTAATATTTCGTTGACACCATATCACAAGAAAACTCTACATAATGTAGTTAATTAAAGGACTCAAAAACAGTATTTCGAGTAGCACTGGTAAGTAGTTATGACTTTAGATACCTTAAAGATTTTGAATAATAAATTTCTTTGAGAAACATCACACACATTACGTGACAGGTGTTCTTAAGCACTATATCTATGAGAACACGATGATTATGAAGCGAGCTAATAGTGCGGACACTGGAAAATGATCTCCATTAGCATATTTTTAAGTAACTTAATCGTAAGTGACGACTGGTTGAAGAGTATTAAGAGAAGTAACGTGATGAAACATATTTCAAGCAACACTTGAATGTATGTTGCTTTGCTTTCCAAATCATTGAAGCTGTATGTTCATAATATATACTTCCGTCATCGTAGAATCTACGATTTATCAAGTAAACATATTCATACCTAATTTTCTTATGCTATCAGGAGTAGATCTTGAAAATACTTTAATTATTTGAGATTGTATTGAAATTAGTCACTTTACATCAGTTAGTGTAATTCTAATCACTTAGCCATTTAATCTTTTACTTTGGTCCCATAACGAATTTATTGAACTACATGGACACTTAAAGTAAACAACATTTTGAAAATTTTGAGGAGGTAATGCATTATTTTGTGATGATGGAGAACATTTGTAGCTAAAGGTGAGTTATTTTTTTTGAGGTTTGTTCGCAGAACTGGGTGGTTTGACCATACACCATTCATTGTTCTACTGAACAACATCATCAGAACAGACTTCAGGTGGAAGAGAGCTATTCGATATTCTCTACATATGACCAATTGATAGTGGCAAATTAAAGCCCAACAATAACCAGTCCAGATCAAGACCAGCTACCCGTTATATGTTGAGAAATTCAAATACCTTGCTTCTTTCTGAAGTTTGTTCAGATGATGTAGTTCAGAAGAACAATGACAGTTTCACAAGTAAACTATAGAGCTCACCAAACAAATCTCTAGCCAAATGCATTAAGTATACACACAGTCACTCAACTCTTCACTAAATAGGAATTTAACAATTAAAATGGTTCATAGATTGAAGATATTATTCAGTTAGTTGATGCGATTGAGTGAAATCTACTCAAATATTTTGATCGTTTCAACTAAATATTTGATTATGTGTTCAGATTTCACTTCCTTGCTAAATAATGTCCACATTTTAAAACTTATCTATACATAAATACACTTAACTTATATTGGTTCATGATCTGTCAATCTCCATAGCCTATATTGAAAAACAAATCAGTGATAATATTAGTGAAGAATTATTTCGATCTGAGATAGTAGTTTCGCCGAACTTCAAGATGATAGTCGAAGTACCACATGTCTCCTTTATGTACAGCCTCCTATTTCCAATTAGTAAATAAATTATTTGATACACAATTGTAAAACTGAATGAGAAATTTGTTCGTTTACTAAAATATTATTATCAATCTAAAATAAGATGAAACTGGAAACAGATAATAAAACATAAAAATACAAAAGAAAAACCGCTACAAATTAAGCAACAATATTTATTTTTAATACAAATGCATCTATAAAAGTTGGTTAAAAAGCATATTACAGTAATTGCTATGAATAAATTATCATAATGATTTCTTTGGATGATTAAGACAATTATATTTCAGTGATTTTGATGTATCCCTAAAATAATCAAAGCTAGATTTAGATATGGATTGTCTGGTTGGAGAGAGATAGTATTTAACTACAAGCTTGTAAAGTAAATTAAAAAAACTCAAACAACTAAATACATTCACATTTCAAAGTTAACTTAAATAAGCATAAGGATACTCTTACAAACATGAAACATTAGAAGATAAATGTAATTATTAATCAGTTAATCCAGTGTAACACTTATTGTTAATGTCTCAGTCAGTGTATGATAACTAAAAGTTAAAACCATCAACAACATATAATACTCATTATTAAACTTACTTATTTCAATAATAACTAACGTATGACATAACCACTTTTGTAAACTTAAATTAACAAACGTATGAACAGCAATCTTTTATCATATAAATTCTTAACTTTTTTATTTTCATTATTATCAGTGTTATAACTTGTCAATTGAACGCTAATTGTTATGTCGGAAACTCTTATCACTTATACTCGAAACAAGAGACCTCTGCAATTCCCATGACGCAAAAGTAAAAACACAAAAACTGGTATCAGTGAAGATTTATTGACCGCCAAAACACGACGACGAACCTAGTCTAAAATACACTCATTTATATATAGATTTGTGCATCTATTTTGATTAGTAATTAGGATGGAATCACGTATATGGAAAATACTTAGTCCTAACAAATCACATGCTGAGTATAGTTCATATCAACTAAATACAAAAATATCGTATATTATACAGAATAAAATATTATACGAGAAAACAAAACCGAATACTACACTAAATGATCATCACATTGAATCAAAACGGAAGTAATGTTCAACAAAACTTATAATGAGTAAATCAATCGAATTTCGATTCAGATTTATTTAATTCTTGACCCGTTGTATTAGTCCTATATTAATAAACATATTTTTTTCTTGAAATTTGATGATCATTTGGCAATACTAACATTTAGCAGCGGTAAAACAATTCAAATTGGTTATATTGCACACAAATGATGGAATGATAATATATCTTTAACTTTAAATAAATGGATACTATGAACAGTACATTTAAATCTTGGTTTAGTGATTCCAAGAACTGAATAGGATGTTCAATTCTCAGACTTGAATAAACGATTTGACCAATTACATCCTCTCAGCATGTATCCTCACAGCTATTCAAGATAAGTGATAGTCACCAGTTACATTGATGTTATAAACCACTTTAAATACCTTTTTCTAATCGGATCAAAAGACTAAAAAATCATATGAGACGTTTGGCTCAAAGTTATGTTCACCAAACGTTATTGTACTTACCTTCAATCTCAATTTACGAATGAATATATTGGTGTTTCATTTAGTACTTTTCCAAGCCATTTTATTCGCCTCTACATCTGATATCCTTATGTCATACAAATATTTTCAAATATAGAGGGAAAATTATGTCACATAAATGAGGATTAGATCAATGTAATTTTTATTGATTGTATCTAATTAAATATAATTGGGGAACAGACAGCTTTTTGAACTTGGCTCTACTCAAGTTGAGCAGTTTCAAATAAACTGATTGTTAGTTACAGGTAACACAATGAATTGTAAGATTATTCAAATCATTTTGCAGAATCAAACATAAATGTGCTTGTATTGTTTCTATTCGCAAGTTATCTATCTTAATCATATATAATAGTATCATAATATAATGAAATGAAACATGCAGAATTTATCTTACCCTGATGTATATTAAATATAAACAGCAAGGCCACCAATAGAATCCGTAGAGTATATTCCATGGTGGTAACATGTTTTGTTAGTGATATCGTGTTGGACCGACGGACGAAGAGAAAACCAGCAAAGCAATAACAAGACAAAGCCAAGCTATTTCTCTGCTCTTCACCCCTGATAACTAGTAGAAGAGGACCAGTCAGATAGTCAGTAACAACGTAGAACTTCGTACGTACGTTCATCAGTTCGAGTTGCCATACAACATTAGCACAGAGATGCAGCTGTCGATTCTGATCCCCTACAGGTATAAGTAGTCAAAGTATTAGCAATAATCGGAAGGATTAGGGCTTGAAGATTTTATTCAAGGAGTATAATACAGTGAAATAAATTTGGAAAGAAGAAAAAATGGACATGAAGAATACAAAAGATTAGAATTTCGGAGAACACAAAAAGTGGATGCACCTGCGCCATCGCAAAGGATTTCTAGCCATGTTATTCAGGGTCTCTAACCATCGGTTGCTATGATCTCGCGATCCCTAACCGAGCTATATTGGCTAAAACACATGTTCCTGCAGGTTCTACCATGCCAGGCAGGTCGATTGGAGAACGGTAAGACTAAAAGCAGCAACTCAAGGTTCGAGGGCGAAGTCGTACTGCTGACTGTAGAAAAGTATGGCAGCAGTGTTTTCCTCAGACAATCAACATCTGCAGCGATTCTGCTTTCTCACAAGAGAGAAAGGGGTTTGAAAAGGTTGACCCTGAAAATGTCACACCTCACCTTACCCCACGGATTTCCGTCTCCGGCGGTAAGGCCCTCTGAAGAACGGAGCTAACACATTAAAAACCTCCCACAAGAAGGCCGTGCGTGACCGGCCTCAAGCAGTTGTCTCTTGGGCTCTGAAGTCACGCTCCCAGGTCGCTAAGATCAACACTAATCCAACTTCCTTTTCAAACTCCTCAAAAAATACCATTTCACGGTGTGGGCAGCCCGGAAGTGACATCGGCCCTCATACTCGTAACAGCATACGAGAACAAGTTGGTCACATTCAAATCCTTCCTACACCTCCTAATAACGCTCTTATCTCCACGACTAACCCTTCTCACGTCCCTTTAACACCTCGCCCCGCTAGTGCAAACGATTCGAGTACGCGGAACGTTATTTCTGGTCTCCTGAAACTACGCTCTAAACTACACGTAAGAGCTTTTAACGTCCGAACACTATGCCGAATAGGACAACAGGTTTCCTTAGTTAGGACTTTAGAATCTCGCACCATCGATGTGTGCTGCGTCTCCGAAACGCGCATACAGGATCGTTCATTTGACCTCACCATGTCAAAATAAAGACGAGGACTAGACCTAACCAGGAGAACATGTAATTCCATAAACCGATGACGTT